CCCTCCATTCATCCATCCATCCCTCCATCCACCATCCCTCCACACATCCATCCATCCACCCATCCATCACTCCATTCATCCATCCCTCCATCTTTCCTTCCATTCATCCATCCATCCATCCATCAATCTTTCCATCCATCCATCCATTCTCTCATTACCCCCCCTCTGTGTTTGTCCCCTCATTAATCACAGTTCATCCTGAAGGCTGCTCTGTATTGATTAGTTATCCCTCTTTCCTCTTTGCATTCCTCTTCATTCCTGCCAGCTTTCTGCTCCGGCCTTCATTACCGAGCTCCAAGGCCTTTGTAGACTCCCGGCAGAATAATGTATATTAATAAGGAAGCTGTTTGTTTTGAAGTCAATGAAGGTGATGAAGTAGTGGACAAACAAGCTAGAGGTGTTTCAGCTCCTCGGTTCTTCTTTTAGCTTGAAATGGAAATGACCATTCTTCTAACTTACAGGTAAAGACATTGGTTTGCATCCATTCAACATTTATATAGCCCCCCCTCCCCAACAACACCCATATGACCCACAGTCTCACACTGCACCTGAATGCATCTTCGTTAATTGAAAACCAAAAGCTCCGCCAACTTAGAAAACATCTTTATTCACTTTAAACCAGTGCAGTCAAACAAAACATCAACAGAAACAGACAAACATGGAGTAGCACTGCATTACACAAGTCAAGGTCAGTTAAAGGTCGTAACACCTCAGGGACAAACAGCCGTTTCCATAGCAATGAGGCTTCTCTCTGAGCGTCTGTGCAGTCCGACGTGAGTTTTTTTTTATACATGCTCATGTTGTTATCTGACAAGCAGAAGATGAAGATTTTCTGTGATCCACAGAAGAAAGTAACTGCTGCGTTTTGTTTTGCCTGTTGTGGGGATACACTGCCACCTGCTGGTGAGGAGGAAGATGTGCAGCAGTAACATATTTTATAGAATTTCAAGCCTGCTCTGCTGTCAAAGGAATGGATTTTTTTTTAGCTTAATCTTTTAGCAAATTTACATTTATGGCATCAATTTCCTAATATTCAATGAAGCTTCTTTTCTTCTTTAGATTTAGTGTTAAAATGTGACCTTTATTCTCCACTCAATTTGGGGTTTATCTTTTCGTAACAGACAAGACATTATATTTCTCCAGAGGCCAAAAATATCCAAGCAAAACATCAAATACAACAACAACAAAAAAAAAGTTTTTTAAAAAAAGGAGGGGGATATTGAATTATGAATACTGAAGAAAAAAAACAGGAAAATCCTTTCAAAACGTACGTCATAGATTGGTGAAATGTTTCCAGTGTTAGATATCTTCAATGATCGACACAAATGTCCAGTCAGCTCAGCACATGTGAGCGTGTAGCCACTGCGTTTGAGTCAGGTGAAAGAAATGTAATCACACACACTTGGTTTTGTATACGTGTGTGTGTGTGTGTGTGTGTGTGTGTCGGTCTGACTGTGTAGTGTTTAGGAGTCGTCTCCGTTGGCGCTGTCCCCGTCGTCCTCTCCTTCCTCCTCCTCCTCCTCCTCGTCGTCCTCATCCTGCCCTCTGCTTTTCATCTGAGAAGTCCAAACATCACTCATTAGTCTTTAATCACTCGACACAAACGAGATATTTGAATATTTGTTTTTGACGTATAAAGAGCAGAAGGGTTTCAGATTACTGCCCACAAGAAAAGAGGATTCTGGGATATTATCTTCTGGCACTTATGGACATAACGGACTCACTCATCAAACTTCTTTTTTAAATTATTTCTGGGCTTTTTATGCCCCTATCCTTAGAGACAGGACAGTTTATAGTCAGCAACCGGGGAGAGAGAGAGAGAGAGAGTGGGGAATGACATGCAGGAGGGGCTAAAGGTCGGATTCGAACCTGGGCCGCCCGCCTCGAGGACCACTGCCTCTGCACGTGGGGCGCGCACACCAACCGCTTAGGCCACCGGCACACCTCAATCTGCAAATTAATCAAAAGACTGAAAACTACTACAAACAACCAGTTTGGTAAAAAAATCACTGTTATGGGCACTAGTGGCCTAGTGGTTAGTTTGCACTCCCCATGTACAAAGGCTGAAGTCCTCTCTCTCTCTTCCCATTTCCTACTCATAAAGTCATAAAAGCCCCTCCCCCTCAACAAAAAACCTTGTTATCTGGACTCCTCTCCCGCTCCTCACCTCGTCCTCGTCCTCCAGCAGATCTCCCTCCTCGTCTGAGTCCTGGCTCTCTCTTTCTCGTTTCAGGCTGTCGTCTTTCTTGCTGGAGGTAGACGAGTTGAGGGAGGACAGCTCGCCGGGTTCTGGTTTGCAGCTCTTCATCTCTGAGTCGATGTGAGCGGAGACAACGGATGAGAACACACAGAAACACAGGGACTGACTAAAGGCGGGGTTTTGATCAGGAGCCAAATGAAAACCAAAAAAAATCCTAATCTGAAGTCTTTTGGTTCATTTATTGGTTTGATTCAACCTGGACCCTCCTCACTTCTCTGTCCAACAATCACATATTTCCCTGTCACGATTCATCCTAGTGCAGTTTGAGTCACAGAGAATATCATGCTACTTGTGAAAAGCCATGAGTCCAATTATACATTTGACATTTGTGGGGACGGTTTTTGCTTGTTTTTTAATCGTAACTAAGCAACCACAACATATAAGAAGACTTGAATGTGTTATCAGTGGCTTAAACATGAGTTCTGTTGAGATGGGGGTTCAGACTAGACGGGGGGACAAATATGAGGTGTGGGGTTTCATGTGGGTCTTGTGCAAAGAAATGAAGAGTGTCCAACACTTCCTGTGGTGCATTGTGGGTAATTTAACTGAAGAAACTTTTTCTGCTTCAGAATTGTAAATTAAGCCAAGAAGCTGAATAAAGTGTCTTTATATTAGACCTCCTCTTCCTCTCCCTCCTCTTCCTCCTCTTCCTCCTCCTCCTCCTCCGCCTCCTCTTCCTCCTCCTCCTGTTCCCCCTCCTCTTCCTCCTCCTCCTCCTCCTGCTCCCCCTCCTCCTCACCCTCCTCCTCTTCCTCCTCCTCCTCTTCCTCCTCCTACCCCCTTCCTCACCCTCCTCCTACCCCTCCTCCTCACCCTCCCCTTTTTCTTCCTCCGCCCCTCCTCTTCCATTCATGTATTATCAGGAACTTTGTTTCAAAATGTGCAACCCTCGTCGGACACTGTAGTCGTGACCCTCGAGTCTCTTCCTCTTCATTTCTGCCCCTGTTAGAAAAGTCTTACAGGAAACCCTAAAATCTGATCTGCATTTGAACCCCTCACTGATCCTCACCTGACTTCTTGCCGTGGTCCTTCTCCATGCGCTCCAGGCTCTCCAGCAGGTAGTCCACCTTGTGTTTGATCTGCGTCAGCTCTCTCTTTATGGCCTGCAGGTCGTCGCTCTTCACTGCTGTGGTGGGGGGGAAACGCAGGAGAGAGAAGTATTTAGGGGCGAGTAGAGTGAAGCTGTGTGAACGTGACACGAGCCGTGATACTCACCGTTCCTGGACGTCCTCTGGCTGTTCTTTGAGGAGGAGAAGCTGGTTTTGGTCCGTCGGCTGCCCCCTCCGCTTAGACTGACCCGCGGGCGCTTCGAGGGGACGACGGCTCGGGACAGAGGGGGAGGAGGGGGGGGAGGTACCCGGGCCTGATAGGAGTACATCCTGACATACAAATACACATAAGTAAGAACTTCAGAAACACGAGAAAATACAAAAAAAGAGAAAAAGAGAATATTTACCGATCATAGTAATCTCTTTGAAAGTCATACTCCAGATCAATAGATGGACTGAGGAGAGAGCAGAGACAGGGTAGCAACATTAACAACAGCATTATTATGAAGCATCACAAAGTCTGTCTGAGTGCTTGAATGTTTTGGTTTCAAACGTCATGAACGCACACACACCTGTACATGTCTCCTGCAGCTCGCTTGGCTGTCTTCGATCTGTGAGGTTTGGGCTCGTTGGCAAGGTTGATATCTGAAGGAGGGGAGAAAAAAAAACAGAACAATGTCAGTATTTCAACTCGAGACTTTTATGTGTAATCAAAGGGACTTTTTTTAAGGCTGTTCATGGTGTTTCTTTGTCTTTTTCCCCTACTGCATTCTGGGAAACCCTCCAGCTTTGGTGTGACCTCAAATTAAAACAAGAAGAAAAAGGAAACGGAAAGAGGAAAAGACTTGGAAGTGTTTACTTTAAAGCAAATAACTGAAACATTTGAGAGTTTGATACATTTTAAAACTGCCTTTTTGAAAAGTCTGTCTTATGAGTATCAATCGATCTATCTCCTCCTCCTCCTCCTCCTCCTCCCCCCCCCCCCCTCCGAGGCTCACCGAGCACCTGTCCCACGATCATGCGCCCGTCCTCCCCGGCCACGGCGGCCCGCGCGTTCCTCTCGTTGGAGAACTGGACGAAGGCGTAGCCCTTGTGCACGGAGCAGCCTACCACCTTGCCGTACTTGGAGAAGATGGCCTCCACGTCGGCCTTGGTGACCAGCAGGGTGTTGAGGTTGCCGATGAAGACACGCGAGTTGAGGGAGCGGGGGTCCGTCTTGTTGGTGACGTTGCTGCTCGCCATCGGGCTTGAGCCGGAGGGGTGACGACCAGCGGGGGGGGCGAACGGCAGGCACGAGAGAGAGAGAGAGAGAGGGGCGAAAGCGGCAGCGTTTAGAAGTGAGTAAGAAAATAATGACAATCTATATATTGGGCGTGCGACCAATCAGAACAAAGAGTCTAGAGAAGGCTGTTGATTATTTATCAGGCTACAAAACACCCAAAAATATTGACTAGACTGTGTCTGCTGGTATTAACCAATAATAATGCTAGCTTAACACAAACAGATTAATGCATGAAAATCACATTTATCCTCCTACCTAACTAAATCAAATCACTGAAAAACATGAAACAAAGCTTCTGTCTGAATTTGAGCAGAGGGGTACACACACACACACACTACATCTGTATCAAAAGTGATGCAAAAGAGAGAGGGCGAAACATCAGACATCAGAGTAGACATTTTGGTGTAATGGCGTCATGTGGCGGTCAGCACTCACTCCATCTCGTCTGAGCTCGGCTCGGTGGAGGTCTGCCTGCCTGAGTCTGAGTCTGTTGGAGAGATGAGGGGTTTTTTTTCTTTGTTATTTCTCCTTTGACTTTAGGGAAACTCAAAAAAATAATGGTGCTGGACAGGGGGGGGGGGGGGGGTGGGGGGGAGCAATAGATAACACATTTTGTATTTTATTTTAAATGGAGCGGCCATGGAAAAAAAAATAAAACCCTGTGGGATGAATGGTTGAAAGTTATGACAAAAACAAAAAGATGTTGTATTGAATTGTGGACGGTCAAATTGTTTTGAAAGAAAGCCTTTACAGTGTAACTTTCCTGAAGCGCCTTATGATTTGATTTTACCGCTTAAAAAGAAGTCTGTGCGCGTTTAAGTCACCTTTCTAGTCGGCATCTGAACTACAAGTCAGTTTAACTAATTATCAAGATGATGGACGGCAGTGAGGGTGGTTTGGCAGCATTTCGATCTATAGATGGGGATGCATATCTCTCTCAACAACTACAACCTGGGCCTAAAAAAAAACACCACTGCCTGCCCCAGTCTGGATGGATGAATTCCTGAGTCCCAGAGGAGGTTGGTGAACGAGTGTCAGCGAGTGGATGAGACACGTTGAGTCATCAGCTTTAAAACGCTCTCTGACTAAACAGGAAACAATGTGGCTTCAATCGATGTTAATCGCTCGCAAAGACGACGCTATTGTCAGAAGAAACAAATGGATTAATAGTTTTTTCTCTGCTGGTTTTTGTCAGCTTTGGTTATTAAGTGGATGAAAGACATTTAGCGCAGAGGAGTCATTACAAATACACAACTCAGTCCTCATGGCGCTATGAGCACTCAAAGGCTGTGAAGGAAAAGTCATGAGGCGCTAATGAGGTACATGTCTATAGTAAATTAGACAGGTCGAGATGTTGGTCCAATCTGAGCCCCTCTATAGAGATCAACAGTGACCACCAACCTTTTTTTTTGGCAGCTTTGGTTGCAGAATTAAATTTCCTCCATTCAAATCCTCCATTGATATTTCACAAAATCTTTACATGACAACCAGCTACCCCAATTCTTCGATTGACGTTCTTTGATCAAAAGAGACATTGCTTCAAATTATGAAGGTCGTATCCACTTCCACAAATTATTTACTGCCTTAAAGAGACAGCAGCTGAAATGAAGCGTTTCAGGCAGAGCTGAAATGAGGATTTAACGTCAGTATGAGATAAATAATGAGGTTTTGAGCTAATCAGTAGACGTACCATGCTGACGTAGTTAACGGTGAGAATAATAGATAGAAGTTGGAGTGTTAATCGCAGAGACTCTGGACATACGATCGGACTTCTCTTTCACCTCTCTGAACCCTGAAGGTCTCAAGAAAAAGGGACACTGTACTATACACCCTGGAGATTTTCATGGTTGTGAGCAAAGAACGATTATAAGTGCTAACCCTTCTAACATCCTAGCCCTCATTCGATTTGTGTTTCTGTAAGCTCATTTCTGCTGTCTTGTCCATGTCAGCAGAAAGAATCCATGCTGTTAAGAAAGCACTTTTTCTTCCTCTTTCCCCGTCATCTTCCTCCTCCTGCTCCTCCCTTCCTCTTCTCAGCAGATCCTCTGACAGTCCAAATTCTTCTTTTGTATCCTATTGCACGGACCTGATAACTGTAAATAGATAGTTTACAGCAGAGGAGTTGCAAAGACGCTCATGATAAAAACAACAACAACATAAAGACATGAGTCAAAGATGGCTGCCGTGATTATTTCTGCCCACTTTAAAAGGCTCTCATATGCTCATACAATAAAGTGTGGTTTGTTGTGCGCAGCATTATGGAGTTGTCTGCCAGTGTATGCGGCTGGAGGCTATGTCTCGCTACTTTCTAGTGAATTACACACAAACACACAAACACGCACACTCACAGGTCACACAGGGTAATATGAAGAGACGCAGAGGTCATGTTCACGGTCAGCTGGCTGCATGGACCGCTGCTTACTGAGTTATATTTAGTTGACAGCAGCAGGAAAATGGTTAAAGAAGAAGAACACGACTCTCTGCTTCTTTTGAAAACACAGAGAGTTTATTTATTCTAACTCTTGATTATTCTGTTTAGATGATCTCACAAAGATAAATAAATAAACATGCATGCCAGCTGCTATAAAGAACACTATCAAAGTTAAAAATCGAGGTGCTGTCAAGGTAACTGTCTGGTGTTCAGGAACGTCGGGAAGAACTGAGACTCACCAATCAGCCGACCATTTAACAATCTGGTTTAGGGAATTTCTATCTTTTAAAGATCAGCAAAGAGAAAGACAAGAATGATTCAGTAAAAGAAAACTAGAATACTGTCATTATGGTCCGGTCAACTTGAAACTCTGATAGTTTCCTGATGAATTATATGAAGGGATTATTTCCCCGTCTGACATCCTGATTCGTCGATGCTTCTAAAAAGGGTAATTTGCCAGAATTTCCAGGTTGGATGAACGCCAGGGTCGCACTGATTTCAAACATAGATACTCTTCATGGTTAATATTTTACAGTCCAATATTCTACTGTGTGTGAGGACAGCCGAGCGCAACTGTGCGGATTGTCACGCAGACCAA